CAAAGAAGTGGACAAATGGTCACAAAGCCCCTGCAAACGCTGGGGAGGGGCCGTGCCCGAGTGTCCGCGCTGGGCTTGGGCTCCAGGGCTGGCACGAGTGCAGGGACACGGCCCGAGCTCTGTCCCCGCCCGACCCGAAGCTCAGGTCTCGCCCAGGGAGCCCCACCTCAGTGACTTACTGTCCCCCGCGCACGTGAGCCCAGCGTCCCGGCTGTGCCCCCACTGGTGCCCACGACCCCACGGGCAGCGGAAGGCCTCGTTCCACACGGGCGCCGCTGGGCGTGGACACGGCTGCCCCGCACTGCAGCTCCTGGCACACCATGTGCGCCGTGGCCAGGTCCAGGTCGGCGTCGCACACGATGCCCCAGGTCAGGCCCCGCCTCACCTCCAGGCTCCCGGCGCAGGGGTGGTCGCCGTTGGCCAGCCGGGCCTCTGTGTGTCCTGGGGGCAGACGCTGGACTGAAGCCACCCAGGGCGGGACAGGCTCCCTGCGGGCCTCTGCGGGGCACTGACCCTCCAGCCACCCTCCTGTCCCATGGGGAGGAAGGACGCAGGAGGCACGGCCCCAGGGTCCCGGGGCCTGCAGGGGAAGTCCTGGGTGTTTGGGCTCAGCGCCCTCCCACCACTGCAGGGAAGGAGAGTCTCCCTCCGTCCTAGTGCCCACACAGATGGTGACCGGGGAGGCTCGTCTCTGGCCCCTCCCCACTGGGGAGACCAGCATCTCCACCCCTGAGGCATCGGCCCCTACGTCTGTGTCACTGCACTGACCCCACGCTTGGACCTCGTCTCTGGGCAGGCCACTTTAATCACCTGGTCAGTTTTAAACCCCGGTGCCTAGCTGCACCCTGGCCAGTCTAATCAGAGCTCTGTGGGAGGAGCTGGTATCAGCTCGGCAACCTCTCCAGGTGACCTCAGGGCTGCCAGTGGTGAAAAGCAAGTCCCCGGGAGGCCCCGTCTGTCACTCCTTCCCCAGGAACAGGGATGCAATCTGGGCCCGGCAGGGCAGGGGCCTTGCTGGTGGAGTGGGGGTGAGTGGCCAACAGCCCCAGGGGACAACTCCCCCGCCTGTCCCCCAGGCAGGGGCCATCACCTTCAGTCTCTGGACATGGCTCTGAGTGGACACCTCTGTCTCAGAGATTCCTACCTGTGCACACCTTGGTGTCTGACAGGAGATCACACTGGTCCAGGAAGTTCAGGTTGAAGATGCAGTTGAAGATGCTGGACTCTGTTCCCTGGCAGGTCACCAATTTCTGCCCCGGACCTCCCAGACCCCCTGTGAGGTGGAATCTGGGTGCCTGGAGCGCTGAGCCACACCCCAGCCTTCTGCAGAAGATGCTGGCCTCCTCCTGGTACAAGCCACACCTTATCTCGGGGCCTCGTCCATATCACAGGGGTCCCCATGCAGGGGCTTCCTCTGCCGCTCAACTCCAAGGATGCCAGATTTCCAGCTGCAAACACAGGAGCCCGCTCTCCTCCCACCTGAGCCATGCTGTGCTGTGGCCCTTCCACCCTGTACCCGTGGGGGACTGAGGCTGTGGCCTTTGGTGAAGGGCAGGGCACGGGTCTGCAGCAGAGGACCTTGCTGTGGGCCTAGGACCCTGGAGGCTGTGTGAGCAGCTGCCTGCACCCTCCCCACGCTTCCCTGCTCCCCACTGCCCAGTGCTCCATGCCCTCTGGTTTCTGGGGCTTCTGCTCATGGGGAGGGCCAGCCAAGTGGAGAGGGTGGGCAGGCAGGAGACAGGCCTCTCTGCTCCTCTGTCAGGGGCCCTGAGGCTGATCTCCAGGCTCCCAGTTGACGCTCTGGGGTGGCCTCTGGTCAGGGCCCAGCTGTCTCTGGTTCCAAAGCCCATGAGGCCCTTCTCCTCACCTGTGTAAACACCCCTCCTCCACCTCTCCCCAAATGTGCCACTTTAAGCCTCTGCTTCCCACCAACAATCTGAGAAAAGGTAAAGGGCATGGTCCCATGAGCCAGAACCTGAACAGGATGGGGGCTCTGACATCTGGAGGTGACCCAGGAGCACAAGTCCGGAGCAGACCCTGCAGAGGGAAGCCCGAGGGACAGAGCAGCCTGAAGTCCCGAGGTGTAGGCCATGGCCTCTGCCTACGCCAGCCACGTGGGGGAGGAAGGCAGGGACACTTCACTCAGAAAGTCCTGTGGTCACCACTGGGCCCAAAGCTTGATGGTTCCAAGGAGCTAACTGAACTCAGAGACGATTTGGGCCAGGGTCCCTGCCAAGGCTGTCTGGGTGTGCAACCTGTCCCTCCCCTGCACTGTCCTGGCCTTCAGAGGTGACACGTGTAGGGTCCTTACTGGGCCATGAGGGTCTAAGGGTCACCCGCCCTGGGGTCATGGGCACCTCAGGAGGAGGGTGTCCTGCCTCCCATCCTGGGGGTCTCAAGAACAACCCTCTTCCCAAGGGCAGAAGCCACGATCAGCAGAAGTGCCCCTGGGGGCCGCCATCCCACCTGAGCAGTGCACCGCGCTGATGCATTTACACTTGCAGTCCTGCAGCAGCCTCCATGCCCCCAGGAAGCACTCCCAGAGCGAAGCCTCTGCACCCTGGCACCGCTCCCTGCAGCAAGGGCTGCTGTGTGTCCTGGGGCCATAGCACGTACTTGGGGGTAATGACGGTGTGGCCGCAGCCCAGCTGCCTGCAGATCACGGACACCTCCCCCAGGCCCCAGCCGTCCCCCCACACCAGGCCCTGCTGCCCACTGTGCTCCACCTGCAGGAGGCCCTTGCAGCGGTTTCCACCCCTCACCAGGACCAGGGACTCCACGGCAGGCGCTGTGGGGACAAGAACACAGGAAGGGCTTTCATAGAAAAGGTGCACTTGAGAACTTTTTGTCCAGAATCTTCAAAAAATAGAAATCTAATTTTCACCTTCCATTCCAATTTGTCCCCTTAATATTGATTTTCCCAAGTTTTTCACACTATTTTTGCTGGTGTCAATGACATTAACAAAGTAAAATGTTAACAAAAATGAACAAAATGTTAAAAAAAAGGCCTAAGGACCATTTTCTGTGGAAACTCAACAGAGTCAGGGTTTCAGCCTTTCAAGATAGGTGAATGGCTCAGGAAAGGGAGCCTCTGGTCACTTCACCTGCTAATGAGCTGTGCAGGGGACAGCCCAACCCTCTGGGTCTCCAGCTGAGCCTCCCAGGATTACACCAGGGAATAGATGGAGCCTATGTCGTGTCCTCCCCTTCTCCCCTGGAGGAACGTCCTGCATGTCTGTGGCTCCGGCCACCAGCACCTGCAGACAGCAGCACACACTCACCAGGAGGGAGGGTCCAGCAGGCCAGGAGCAGGGACCACAGCCTTAATGGGGACAGCGCCATGCCTGGACACATCTGCTGGGGCAGCACCATGGTCTGACAGTCCCAGGCAGGCGTCTGTGCTCTGCCCCTGTGTGGAAGGTGGACTCTGACTCGGCGGTGACGCATTCTGAGAAGGAAGTCCAGGAGCGCCCTCGCGGCCCCCCATATCAGAGCCATCATCTGTCACCTGGAGCAGGAGCTCACCCACCATGCCTGAGCCCAGACAGCACCAGCGGCATGTGGTGAGGCCAGGCTGGGCTTCCTGCAGCTGGTGCCTGATGCAGCCACAGGTGTGGGATGGGCGACGAGCCATTCTCAGCAAGGCCCTGTGGCTGCATGCGAGACACCAGGGCCCAGAAGGACAGTGACAGCCTTTCTCTGCCTCACACTAAAGGTGTGGCTGAAGACCTACGGTCCTTCTGAGCTCAGTGTGTCATGAACAGACTGACCTAGTGCTCTGATCAAAGTCTTTGAAGGTGTGCATGCCCTGTGCCTTGGGTTGAATGTCCCCCCAAAACTTAATCCCTATTGCAACTGTTAAGGGTGGGAAATCCTATTATGGTAGTTGAAAGGTGAGGCCTTGAAGAGGTGATTAGATTGTAGGACCGTGCAGTAGTGAATGAATTAATAATGGTGGTCAGAGGCATGGTTCCGTGGACTTTAAAAGGAGAGCACATGCGAGTCTCTCTCTCTCTGTGCTCTGCCATTTTCTGCCATGGGAGACCCTGCATTGCTGTAAAGCCAACACCAAAGAAGACTCTCACCAGATGTGTTCCCTGGACTTTGGACTTCCCAGCCTCTGAAACTGTAAGCAATATATTTCATTTTCTTATAAATTACCCAATTCCAGATATTTTGTTATAAGCAATAGAAATGAACTAATACATCCTGTGACCAGCAATTGTAGAGGTTACACATCTCCTGGTGAGGATGTGCATGGTAGGAAGCAGCCAAACGTGCAAGTTAACTAGACTAGGATGGTTAAATAAACCAGGGAACATCTATATGATGGGATATGACACATTTTGCAAATCGTGCTCATATCTATGCATCTATGCAAATAAAGTTTTCAGTGGATATACTCCACGATGTTAAAAAAGTTCATTTCTGGGAGGTAGAATGTTTGATACTTTACATTTTCTCCTTGTGCCTTGTCTGCACAGTCTAAAGATTCTGAAATGAGCATACAATTTTGTAAACAGAATAATTTCAGTAAATCAGAAAATGTACTCAGAACTAGCTACATAATTTGTACGGCCCAGAGCAAAATAAAAATACAAGGCCCCTTAATGAAAAATTAAGGTGACAACCTTAACTTTAATATTTAATTTCAGGGTGGCAACACAGAGTATTAAACCAAGTGGGGTCCTTCTGAGTACAAAGACTGAAGCCAGCACAATGTCCCTGAGCTGTCACCCAGGAAGCAGATGTGGTGCAATGGTGTGCACCTTGAGGTGGGGGCCACAGTTCTCTTGAGCAGGAAGGGACCCTGATCACAAAAGGAGACCCTCACCACACCCATGGCCCTCCCCTACACCTCAGCTGTGCCCAGCTCAGCCATGACCCAGCCTCAAATTACTAACGCCAGCCCCCAAGGCACAAAAGTCATCTCTTGTGGAACTCCAGAAGTGGACTCTGCTTACCAGATGTCAAAAGAATTTGCAGTAAATCCAATTGACAATTGAAAGGCATTTGTCAGAATTTTTCAAACTTCATTGAAGGAAGGAGCTAGAGCCATTCATACTCAGGGTGGGGTGGGGCTGGGGCCTCTGATACTTCTGGAGAGGTGAAGAGAGAAACACTCTGGAGGATGAGAAGGGGCAAGAGAGCTTCAGCCACAAAAATCACTGAAGCATGGCCAGAGGATAGACAAATAAGAGGTGAAGGGACAGACCTCTCATGTTGTCTGAGCCCCCAGTGGACCCTCACCCTTTCAGCTGTGCTGATTTTGTCCTGGTCACCAGCCTTCACATTGTTCTCCACAAGTTCTGACCACCAATGTCACACTGGCAATGTCTTACCTGTCCTTGGAAGTCTACACAAGAGCTCAACATGATCAGATGGACAGCAGCAACCCTACCTTATTTCCAGAGGTATTGAGAGCAGACTGGGAGGAAGCAGCATCCCTATACTTGGCAGTGTTATCAGTCCACCATATAAGTCGATTCTCCACCAGGACACCACAAGACTCCATTAACAGCCAGATAACAATAAGGGTATGATTTCCACCAGGACACCACGAGGGTCCAGTGCCCAGCAGGAGAACCTCAAACCTATTCCATAGCAGGACACCATGAAAGTCCATTCTCCAGCAGGATGCCTTGATGGTCCATTCACTACCAGGACACCATGGAGGTCCATTCTCCACCAGGACACCATGAGAGTGCATTCTACACCAGGACAGCACGAGAGTCCATTAACAGCCAGATAACAATGAGGGTATAATTTCCACCAGGACGCCACGAGGGTCAACTCCTCAGCAGGACCACATGAGAGCCGATTCCACACCAGGACACCATGGAGGTCCATTCTCCACCAGGACACCATGAGAGTGCATTCTACACCAGGACAGCATGAGAGTGCATTCTACACCAGGACAGCACGAGAGTCCATTAACAGCCAGATAACAATGAGGGTATAATTTCCACCAGGACACCACGAGGGTCAACTTCTCAGCAGGACCACATGAGAGCCGATTCCACACCAGGACACCATGAGGGTCCATTTCCAAGTGGGACAATATCAGTGTCCATTCTCCACTAGGACATCATAAGAGTCCATTCCACAGCAGGATACCATGAGAGTTTATTCCCTACCAAGACACCATGAGGGTCTATTCCCCAACAGGACACCATTAGCAGCCTTTCCTTGTAAGGACACCATGAGGAACCATTCTTCATAAGGACAACATTGGAGTCCATTCCAACTAGGGCAACATGAGATTCCATTCCCCAACAGGAGGCCATCAGGGCCCATTCTCCGTCAGAACACCATGAGAGTCCTTTCCCACCAGAACACCATGAGGCTCCATTTTCCATCACAACATGAGGCAGGTCTATTCTCCACCAGTCACCATGAGAATCTGATATCCATCAGGACACCACAAGGGTCTATTCCCCAGCAGGACATCATGAACTGCCTTTCCCTGTCAGGACATCATGAGGAACCATTCTCCATAAGGACAACATCAGAGTGCATTCCTCACTAGGGCACCATGAGAGTCCATTCTTCACCAGAACACCATGGGAGCCCTTTCCCAGCAAGACAACATGAGTCTCCATCACCCAGCTGGACACCATCAAGGTCCATTCTCTACCAGGAAAACATGAAAGTCCATTCCCAGACAGGACACCATATGGGTGCATTTTTTACCAGGACACCATAAGAGTCCATTACCTACTAGGATACCATGAGGCTGCATTCTTCATCAGGATATCATGAGAGTCCATTCTCTACCAGGATGCAATGAGGGTCCATTCTCCATCAGGACACCACAAGAGTTTGTTCTCCAGCAGGACGACATGAGAGGCTACTCCTTACCAGGACCACATGAGGATCCAGTGACCACCAGTACACCATGAGGGTCTATTTTCCACCAGGACTCCACAAGGGCCCATTCAATGTCTGGACACCATGAACTTCCAGTCTCCACCAAGACATCATGAAAAACATTCTCCACCAGGATCACCATGAGAGTCCTTTACCCACCATGACACAATGAGAGTCTATTCTCCACCAGAACACCATGAGGGTCCATTCTCCAGCAGGATTCTCTGAGAATCCTTATACCACCAGAATACAGTCAGGGTCCATTCTCCACCAGGACAGCATGAGAGTCAATTCCTCACCAGAACACCATGAGGGTCCATTCCCCACCAAGACAACATGAGGGTCCATTCTCCAGTAGGACACTGTGAGAGTCCATTCCTCTCTTGGACAACAATTGAGTCTATTCTTCACCAGGAGACCATTAGGGTCCATTCTCAACCATGGCAACATAAGAGTACGTTATTTACTAACCACTGTGAGAGTCCATTCCATACCAGGACACCACGAAGGTCCTTTCTATATCAGGACACTCCAAGGGATGATTCTCCACCAGCACACCATGAGTGCCCATTCCCCACCAGGACACCATCGGGCTCCATTCTCCATCAGGGCACAATCAGTGTCCACTCTCCACCAGGACACTATAAGACTATTCGCCACCAGGACATCATTAGAGTCCATTCATCACCAGGACACAATGAGGGCCCTTTCTCCTTCAGGACATCAGGGTCCATTCTATGTCAGGACACAACGAGGGTCTGTTCGCCACCAGGAAACCATGAGAGTCTATTCTCCATCTGGACAGCATAAGAATCCATTCCCTATCAGGACACCATCAGGATCTATTCTGCACCAAGATACCATGAGAGTCCATTCCCCACCAGGACAACGTGAGGGTCCATATTCCAACAGTATACCATAACGTTGTGTTCCCCACCAGGACACCACAAGAGACCATTCCCCTCAGGACATCATGAACTTCCATGCTCCACCAGGACATGATGAGAGTCCATTCCCTACCATAACACAATAACAGTCTATTCTCTACCAGGACACCAAGAGAATCAAGTCCCTAGCAGGACACCATGAGAGTTCATTGTCTATCAGGGCACCATAAGGAGCTATTCTCCACCAGGACACCATGGGGTTCCATTCTCTACCAGGACACTGTGAGAGTCCATTTCCCACCAGGTCACCATTAGAGTCCATTCTCCATCAGGACAACATGAGAGTCCTTTCTAAACTAGGACTCCATTAGGGTCCATTCGCCACCAGGACACCATGATAGTTCATTCCCCAGCAAGACACCATGAGGGTTTGTTCTCCACCAAATGGAGACACTATGAGGGGCCATTCACCAACAGGACAGCATCAGGGTCCATTCCCCATCAGGACA